ATACTACGATTTTGTGCATTTACAACTTAATTTCAAGTTTATTTGGAAGGTCAAATTTGGAGGATTTGGATACCTTTCCTTTTTAAACAGAACACATGTTTCAGTAGAATCAATTCATTAAAAAGTGACCGAAATAATGAATAGAGCATTTATTTTGCCTTTTATTCCTAGAGTATAAGTTACAGGGTATTGCACTAAATGAAATACAAAGAAGTGAAAGAAACTGAATCCAGCCCTGAAATTTTGACTTGCTCAACATTTATTAAACATTTAACTCAGCTCTATGCACCATTTTGTAAGATTTTGATAAAATCAAGTTGGAAACTTTATAAATTTTGAGTTTTGTCACATAAACTGATAGAAATGGCATATTTGAATAGATCATTTTTTAATTAAAAAAAAATCAAAACAGGCCGAATCAACCTCTTTCGATAAGCACCATTTGTGGGCTTATTTTGTACATTTCAATAGTTAGCTTAAAAATAGATGTACGAAATTGAGTCCAGTTCTAGATTATTTAACCAGCCGGCTGCATTTACGTTACTCCTAGGCAGCTTTGTTATTGTGCAAAATATCGGTTCAATAGTGCCTGATATATATCATTAAAGATCTGGCATGTTTAGATAAAATGAAATTAGACTTGTTTATTTTCAGAAACTGCAAAGTCCATTCAAGCTACTACTTCACTATGTCCATGAAAACACGGAACAGCCTGTTTAGTTGAGAAATGTACAGTAACATTGTGTCCAGAACCTATCGTTATGGGCACAAATTGACAATAATTGTTGATTTTTTATAAATCCTTTTATGATTGGCCTTAAATAACAAAAACTGTTGCATGCATAATACTGTCAATAAGAAGTAGTAGAATTATTTTGGACAAGCGTCGAGAATCTAGATGCACTTAGATATTATCTTTTCCAAATGCCCAAAGTTTTGAGAGAGGCTGGCCGAATTTGCATTTAGTGATGGACGTTTCATGGTACATTCACTCCCTGTACTAAAAAAATTTCATGCCGAATGTGTCACGGTCACGAGAAACATAATGACATATATGTATCTGATAGACGTTTTCTCGAAGAGTAGACTGCAGCTTCCCGTGTAATAAAGTTTCAAATAAAAACGAGACAGGCGAGGGTCGCAGACGAAACACATTAAACATATTCCCAGGGAGATAAAAAGAATCCATCATGAAGCTTCTCTTGCGATTTTTTCTCTTTACATGCCAATTTAATATTTAATGGGAAAGAACAAAAGCTTTTAAGATTTGTGGCACACCTTGAAAGTTTAATGATCTCGCTCGTGTACTTACCCAGTTTTTCTAGCTACATACCATCCCGTGCTAGTACAGTGATTTTCGGTTTTGTTTCATACATTTATAACTTGATTCAAATGCTTACTTTGTGCTACGAATGTGTTGTTCTTATCCTGTGGCGTATATAGCTATTTTAGGACCATTAATCTCAAGCCCTGTTGGATGCAGCTATACTATATTTTTAGAGATTTGCAAAATTTGTTGGGGGAAATCATTGTTTTTGAGGGTAAATGATCATTGAGAGGTTAAATTGCGGCTGGCCAGAGATGAGCGGATGTAGTCCGGCAGCCCATAGCTGAGGGAGTTTGCGAGCATTTGGTGGCCCAGACCGTCTGGTATGAGAAGGTGTGTGGCCTTGCCAAGAGCTATTATCATCTTACACGGAGACCGATTGATTCCTAGTAGTCACGCATTGAGACAACTGACCATCTTTTTGAACCAGTATACATCTCCTCTTGTCCTTAGCAAAACTTCGATTAGCTTCAAGCAGTAATGCTCGGAACAGTCATATAACAAACAGGACAAACAGCCACAAAAATCGTAAAACCTTTGACCCTCTTTGGTGGATTGGAAATCAGATCTGGGAGAGTGACATGAATTCAAAGCAGACGATTAATGGAATTCTAACTCTGATTTAGGAGACTATTTGGAGGCAACTGGATTAAATAGCCCTGGTATTCTTTATACAGGGTAGCCAATATATAACTTACCGATTTAAATTGTGCGCCATTTTTGATACACGCATTTCAGTAGGTGGCGCCGTAGTCGTGGTTTAAAGCACATGTATAAAATTCATATACTATATACACATTCAGACCCTGCTTAGAAAATCCGCCGGGTGGTACCTCCACATTCCTTAGTGCGATACCATCTACAACCTATGGAGAAACACATTATCCATAGCTAAGAGAAACATTCTCTTGGGACGGAACTTGAACGGGCGCAGCTCACTGCGACTGATTAGTAGAGCCATAGCGTCTACCACTAATCCACCACGCTGCCCTGACCTTGGGAAAAACTGGGTAGATATTTTGTAGGCTTATGACTGGAGCCCCAGATATCATTTTGTTGTAGGTCCTCTAAATCGTAGCACAAATACTCAGAATTTGTATTCATTCTAATTTTTATAAAGCCCGTTTTAACGTATTGTATGTTACCTATCTTAACTGAACTATAAGCTGAACCGCCGCAGGATTTTTACTACTTGCTTTCCTTGAATATGTGCATCTGCCAATTATACATTTTTTTTCTGGGTGAACGAAATTGTTGACCACATCTTAATTGATTGGGATTACGATCATTTTACGATGAACAAGTAGAGACAAAGGGTTTACCTTATTTGAGCTTAACGTTTAACAATTAATAAGAAGATAGTTGTTTATAGCTTGGGATGCCTTATTCTCAGAGTATCGATGAAAAGCGAAGCTTGTGACATATTATGGAAGATACAGTGGAGTAAACGAGAATGTCTAATGTGAGGAAAGGTAGAATAACAAAATCAATCTTAAGCAATGCTTACAAACAGCTAATATCAAACCAACGAGCATATTTTTGAGATTTACAAAGGTCGTAAGTCTTGATTGTAAGTCTGGGGGCACTGAGGTCAAGTAACATTATTTTATTATTAGTTGCTATGATAAAAAATGTCACTTACATCATAGCTATCATGTATTTAACAGCGTGTCAAGTTTAAATTCGCGCACTCCCCAATACGATCAGCCAAGGCAACTGTCAAATGAAATGGAATATGCAAAATCGATATTGCTTTGATGTATACAAAATTTATATATAATATATAATCAGGGAGGTAGACTGTGCACTTCCCACGCTTCGCTGCAGGCTCAACACTACCTTTCACAGGCCCAATAATATTTAACTGGCTAATTGAGGAAAAAGGGGGGGGGGTGGATGTTTGGTTCCAGCTCCCAAAATACAGCTTCATTTTCATTGAAACATGGTAGGGCTGCACGTGGGCGTACAATGACCAAAATTTGCAATGAAAATAATAGTAATTAAGCGTTTTGCAGACAGATAGACGGAAACGAGTGACATTTGCTGATGCACATGTCATATAACATTCAAAAAACATATCTCATTTTCGAAATTGCTCGCCGATGGTACGGTAACTAAAAGAATTGAGTTCATTACTTTTTCATGAACTAAGTTGGTTATATATTGTGACTTCTCAAACCCAAAATTCCCGAAGTGAGGGCCTTACCCCAATTTACGAATCCCAGGAGAAAATTCTCATTCATCAAAATTATTGAATCTGGAAATTCTCATAGAAATACACTCCAATGCCATTTCCTATTGCACTCAACAACTCGAAATGCTTAGAATATGTCACTACCGCAGGAAAGCATCATTGAAGCATTTTCGCATGAGAAAATTTTCACAGGTTTCGAGCATTTTTTCCTTCATATTCCTTCATAATGTGCTTAAACAGGGTCAACAACTTGCAAAAAAATTTGGTTTTCGTATATTCAGCTAATATGGTAGCAGATTATTTCATCAAAATAATATGTGTAACCTTTTTGTTATGAGTAAAAAGTTGGAGTTGTGGTATATTTATACCAATCCGGTTATTAAGCAAGTCTGGGCAGTATGAAGTGAAAATAGGAATTGATTAACTTTTATCAATATCATAAATATACCAAAATGTGCGATAAAATTCTATTTCTACTTATGCAATCAGATTTATGGATTTTTAGGCAATTTTTTCTTCAATTTTGCCAAACAATAGTAAGGTTTGTTATTTGCAAAACACACAGCAGCAAGTTTGACAACTTGGATCTCTTATACACTTTATAAGTATTCTTGGACGTTTATCTGATTGAGTTGTGCAACCATTATAATTTAATCAACTAGAATTGAATAGACGCTGGCATTCTTATTTTTCGCTACTTCAAGGAAGACCCACAGAACAAAAATCTTTTATTAGCTAATCTATTGCTGTGAACCAAACAGCATTTACCTGTTGAACGCGCAACTGTGTCATGTCATATTTAGAATGCATCGTATGAGAGAATCATCGGTTTTTACTTTGGCAAAAATTACAATGAAAAATAGTTTCAGTGGCGTCCGTTATGGTCATGAATTCTTTAAGGAAAGGTTGAAGGAATTATTTTCTTGCTTGTATTGTTCGTTCCATATTAATTTCACTGACGCTATCTATATACTATTATTTTATTTTCATACATTACCTTACTGGATTACTTTACTCGAAAATAATTGCTGAAGTTAAAAACAAACCGGTTAAATCATTGTGACAATAAGAGCTTTTAATCAGAACGAATTGATTTATATATATTTGTGGGTTTCGAAAATTTTGTGGAAAATGATCTTTTTTACTGATTGTGGAAGGTCCAGATTGATCTTGTATTTATCGTTGTGGATATAGCTTTCAAGCTTAGCATGGAAATAGGGTGAGTATGCCATATTATCGGAAAATATCACAGAGGAAAGGATAATAGGGCAACACCACTCAGTTTTTCTGCTCGAACGAGACTATAAATAGGTTTAAGATCCCATGTTTGAGAAAACAGAGCCCGTGCAATGCCTCACGGCCCTTGCTGGATATCAAAGTGGTGATTCTTTCTTCAGAACATTTATGTTGTAGATTTGTAATCAGACGTAGCTATCCGGTGGTTGGAGAAACATGAAATGCAATTATATCGAATATCAGATTATGGTTTGTTCTATGTCAACATTACTACAGTGTTGCAATAAGTTCAAGCGCACGAAAGGTGAGAATATTTCTTCGGTTGTTTCCCGTGACGTCTCGGAAGATCTGGTCGTGTCCACCATCCACCACCGCAGACCGCATACCTCCAAGCCAAGTCGCGCCAGCACCAGCAGCAACAGCACCGCACAGAGAGCGAAAGTTACCTTCGAACTACCGTCGGTACGACCAGCAGCTCTCCGAAGAAGTCTTCAGTGCTGGACATGCGGGCTCAGTGTGCGCGCGCGATACCAATTCTTCGTCTGTGAAACGCGTGTCGTGTGATTTGCCTCAGCAGTGTGGCACTCAGAAGGCCGACACCATTCACTGACATATACACATATATAGGACTGGGACTCAACCAGGTGCAATCATGAAGGGCTTCAGCGTGTAAGTCTACCTTCACTTTGGTGCTGGTTGTAGCGTAGCATTTCCCGGGATATACAGATACACTGATACATAAAATATATGGCTGAATAGCTGCCATCGATATATTCGTACAAAAATCTATAAAAGTGGGACTCAGGTATAATCATAAAAGGCTTTAGCATGTAACCTTCACCTATGGTGTCGCAATATGTTGCAGTTAGATGATTCTGTGGTACAGCGTTGTTCAATCATTATGGTGTTACTTTTTTATTAAATAATTCTTCTTATGTCCTATGATCTTTCCGAGATCATTTAAAATTCACTTATAATCAAAGATTATTATTATCTAGTACTACATCCGTTTAGCAACTTTATTTAGTGGACTTATGTCTAAATTATTGGGACTCGACCAGGTGCATCGCAAGGCCTTAGTCTGGAAGTCTGTAAGTTACTACTGCTACGACTCTTTGTAACACAGTCGTCGTTACTATCAACCCTAACTACATAATCACTCTCCTCTTATTTTCCTTCTGAACCACATTTGTTTTTGTTATGCCTTGTTCCAAATACAATCCCATAATACTGATGCATTTTTATCGTTTTTTTTTATTTCGATGCCATATTGTTCAGTTCACCCACAACTCATCATGAGGCTCAAAGGTTATTATTTCTTGATAATGTTCATGTCATAAACAACCGTTGCCTTTCCTCGAACGAAGAACGGGTGAATGGAGAAGTAAAATTCCCCTCTCAGTGTCTTGGGTGCTTCATTGACAGATGGCTTTCCAACGAAACAGGTCCCAGTGGGGCGGAAGTATACCCGGACGGCAAAGGCAGGAAAGCTACGCGGAGCCTGCACAACGATATTCCAGGCTGACATATTTGCCTCTTTAATAGTGGCATACTCAGAGGAGAGTCGGCAGTGCACCATATGCTTCGACAGTTAAGCAGCCGTGAAGGCGTTAGCATCCCCGAGAACAAGGCCACCCTTAGTTAAGGAATGTCCTACTGGCCTACAGTGTTTAGCCAGATCTGAAGAAGGGACCCACCCCTAGGTCTCTGGACACAGGGAAGTGCCGGGCAACAAAGAAGCTGATCGTCTGGATAGGGTGCGGGCTACAGGAAGCTGCATCGGTCTCGAGTCAAGGCTGGGCATGAGCAGAAGAAAAGTCAACACCCCTCTGACTGAATGGATGTAATAGAGACCTGGGAATACTATGGCGAAAGAAAGATGACTGCAGGAAGGCCAAAAAAACTCGTATCTACGACAAACGTTGGACGCGCTGGACAGGGGTAGAGCATTGCCCAACCTTTTGGTGGGGGTTCTTACTACAGACTGATCAGATACTTCTGCTTTTCAAGGGTGAGGAGAGATCCAAACTGTCCCATGTGCTGGGATGAGGACGAGACAGTTTTCCACTTTCTTGGCTTATTGTCCCGTATGTTGCAATCCAAGGGCTGAGCTATTTTGGGACATGGAGTTTGATGGTGAAGTTGCTTACTCAGTGAAATGGTCAGACATCCTGAACTTTATTAAGAGACCTGGAAGGTTCGACAGATTAGTGAGCTAACCATGTAGATTAAGTTGCTGATACAGTCGGGGTCGGCAAAAAGGTTTATTTTTCACCAGTTTGGTAAACAAATATGATACTTCTTTGCCTCACTACAAAGTGAATAGTGCTGCTCGTAATTTGAATGCAACTTTGATAATGACGTGGTACATCAAATGGAAGCACTTTAAAAACAGGTCATTTCTGGACAAGCACGTAATTACAGACGAAATTAAATATTAATTATTTTTTTATACTTGAACCACCAAGAAGACCTAAACACCCATGGGCACCGTGGGGCTATAGGACTCTAGCGAGGGAGGACATGTGCATGCAACATGCACACATTCTGGCCCCACCCTAGAGATCCGTCTGGTGGTACCTCCACGATTGACGCTCAAAGACCATCTACCACCTATGGACAATCACAACATCCATAGCCAAGAGAAAAAATTCTCTTAGATCACGCCACCGCTGCTGCCTACTGTGCATTACTTGAAGATGCATGGAACAGAAAATTGATATTACTACTTTCGCATGATCGTGTAACTATATTACATGTTCAAGCATTGACTTCTATCTGTGTTGATATCGATGGCCTCAATGATATTTAATATACTGTTGACTGGATCTATGGGTACAGAAAGGGCTTAGTGAGGCAGCGTCTTGTCTTTAAAGAGGATTTTTTTTTCACATATTCACGGAAACGCACAACAAACAGGCCAACAGATACATTATTGAATGTTTGCCAACATACGTAGTACGCGGTACCGTTAATTGGCATTTATATCATCTGAGGCTTTTCAGTGACCTTTCTTTCTCAGCCCTCTCACTTTTAATATCACCATTAGCAGAATATGTGGTTTCGAAAATAAATCATAAATGCTGAAGCAAATTATCTTTCACAGGATGGAATATAACATTTCTTTTTTAGTTAACGCTTTATTGCTCACGACGGATAACACATGAGTGCTGAATAGAAACAACGCGTTGACTGCGCAAGGTATTATTTGTTATTGGGAATCAGTTTCTGATAGCATGACTTTCCCTTATTGAGAATTTCAGTACTTTGCGGGTTTTGGATTAACAAATAGGTAAAACCAAACTCTTGAACCATCTACATAACTTATTAAGCAAATAAGATTCATATTTTGGAAAGTTGATCCGTTGAAGTATGAATAGTCTACCAAGTTCTCAAAGAATTACTTTCCTGTTGGAGTCATGACGGCAATATTTTCCATGCAGCCGTTTAATGCAATTGAACTGTATATAGGACAGCATTTTAGTCTTTACTATTCATTTTCCATCTTCTCATTTTCAATAAAATAAACATGAAGCAATTTTTACCGATGAGCCGTGATAAGCCACGGTTATTCCTTGGTTATGCCCTTGATTATTCTGTCATTTGCTCTTCTGACACAGAACATAGAACTGAGTGCGTAATTACGCGTTACTTTTTAAATTCTGTTCGAAATTAAATACCAACGATGACCCAATAGAAACTCAGTAGTTCTACGCATATTGTCGTCTTACATTGTTTGTGTTTTCATTGACAACTTTTCACGGAAAATTATAAGTCACAGAAGACACAAAACAATTACAACGGATACAAGAGAAATAGAAAAGAGTATGCAATATTCAAGCATTTGACATACTAGAACTGCATAGAAACCAACACCTGGGTAAGGTTGTTATTGGTCATAACTGTCATAACGGTGACGTGATAAAAGGCATCATTTGACAGCTGTTAGAAACCATGTCGCTTAAAATGAAAAAGTCAAAACCAAACACCGATCATGATGGGTAGATCGCTTAGAATTGCTTATGGTCGTACGCCTGATACCAAGCTACTGTTCTTTCGTGAAATTATTTGTGCATGCTAGGCAATACTCTGTCATCCATGTTCCACAGTGAATCTGCTTTTTCCACAGCTACTGCCTCTAGACTTTCTAATGGTAACAAGCTCAACACCAACAGCGCTCCTCTTAGTGTGGTTCTCACTGTAGCGTTTATTCCCAAGTTCACACTAGTTTCATCATTTAACGTTACTAATGTGCAAAGAGTCTGTCATATATAGCAATTATTGATAATGCCGAGGCACTAAAACCATGAATACATTGTAGAACCGTTGAATTGGTATTACGGTTACTGTTCAATGATGACATCTCTGCTACCTGTATATAGCATTATGTAGATTAGATTAGCTGTTTATGTAGTCAATAATGAGAATAAATTCTGCGTTATATTGTATAGTATTCAGATGTGTCATAAAATAACAATATTTATATAGTTATTGAGATACATGCATTTGATAGAACAGAGAATAAATGGAGCAACGACACCGTTATGTTGGAAAAGTAGTTTGTATAGCATTAGACTGGAATTTGGAAGTAAATTGAAATGAGTTTTCTACAACACTATTTATATTCTCATGATTCAGAGTGAATTAAAATAGGTCAAGACTGTAAGGTTCAAAAGGTATGGTCCAATGAAACATGTACTAAAAGACAATCATGGTGACGAACTTTATTGACCCAATGTTTAAAAAAAAACGATCAGAATCAGCAGATTTTCTAAGGAAAGATATCATACTAGGGAAAGTGTGAACTCAGATGTTTGCTGCTGGGAGCGAGGAAATTGGCATTTCAATTGCACGTGGTCATCCCAGATTACCGTGCGATGTCATTTTCTGTTACAAATTGAAGCAGCTGTAAAACAAATAATATAGAAGTACATACTATATTTGCTACAAGGAAGTTGAACATTATGTATTTTACTCTTCCGATAAACATACATTATTTCAGGTTCCTTCCCGCTATTTTTTGAACGGCCAAGTTAAAAACCTGAAATCAAGGCTAATGAAGTTGAAGTATGTTTCAGCGTAACAGTGGTAGTTGAAAATTTCAAGATGGCAGCTGAGTGTTATTTTTGAATATTTATTTAAGTGGAATGACGGGTCGTGTGATGCCCTAAATTTTTAAAAATGGCGCCCAGTCGCTATGCTGAGATTTTCCACTGCCACTTTTACGCTAAAACATATTATTCATGTTTAGATTTCACTGGCCCGAATTTAGCTTTTTAGCTTGACCCGTTGGAAAAATAAGCATGGAGGGGGGCTCAGAAGCACTGTAAGTATCGGAAACAGTGACTGCATGTCTTTCATCAGCTTTTCAGAAGCTGTAATTAGTATTGTTCTCTCAAGCACACTCAGTGTCCACATGTTATCCACACAAACTATCCGATTCAATAGGATCGGATATTTATTGTAGATAAAAGATTCACCATCACAATTAATAAACTGATTTGGTTATGTCGCCTTGAATTATATTGAACAGTGCAATACAAACGCAATAGTCTGGCGAAGTCGGTGGCTGGAGGTTCCAGGGTTACGTTACCGTTTGCTTTCATTTCCACTTTCTTGAAATCCTAACAGTGCCTATAGTTAATCGAAGCTTATAAATTAGCTTGTCA